TTTTAATTTAATTTAATTTTATTTTATAAATTAAATCTCTTTCCAGGAATGTTCTGACCGAATTTACACTCCTTTAACAATTGTTGAGTCCAATGATCAGATCTTCAAAGTCAGGAGTGGGCTGGAGACCAGTCACAACGAGGCTAAAAACCTATGGCAACAACTCGGTTGGGAGAATCTGAAGATCAACTCCACGGAATAACTGAGTCCCTAGGAGACCAGTCTTTGAGATTTGTATATGAACTATCCCTCTGCAACTTACCTCATGATTGCTCTAAACTTCAAGTTCATCATCATTAAAGCAGGGGTGAGCCAGGGGGAGCAGGAAATGGTAAATATTCTGCCCTGTTCATGGGATTGTGAGGGTTAAATATCATGATGATCTTTTGTAAACTATAGAATGTAGGATATTTTAAATATGAAAGCCCAAAGCAATAGATTTTTTTAAGTTGTGGTAAAATATGTACTAAGAATATGTAATTAACCATTTTAGGAGTTCAATTCAGTGGTATTAATTACACTCACAACATCATGGAACCATTAGCACTATCTTATTCCACAGCTTTTTCATCACCTCAAACAGAAACTTTGTACCCATTAAAGTAATAACTCTCCATTCCGTTTTCCTTCAGATCCTGTTAATCTCTGATTTACTTTCTAGCTCTATGAATAATTTCCCTTTTTTATTATAGATATTTCATATCAATGATATCATATAATATTTGTCCTATTGTGTCTGGCTTATTTCACTTAACATTTTCAAGGTTTATCATATTATAGTATGTATCAGAATATTATTCCTTTTTATGACTGAATAATATTACATTGTATTATATACAACATTTTGCATATCTATTCAACTGTGGCTGAACACTTGAGCTGTTTTAATTTTTCACCCATTATAAATCATGCCGCAGTGAACACTGGTATACAAGTGTATTTGGGCCCTTGTCTTCAGCTTTTTTCCAGAGCACAATTGCTGGGTGATATGGTAATTCCATGTTTATCTCCTTGAGGAACCAACAGACTGTTTTCTACAGGGGTATCTCCATTTTACATTCTCACCAGCAGTATAGGAAGTTTCCAATTTCTCCACATTCTCACCAACACTTGCTACTTTCTCTTTTGTTTTGTTTTGTTTTTATAGCCATCCTAGGCGATATGAAGTAATATATTGATTTTTTTCAAGATGATTGCAATCTTCAGACATAAGTCACCAATCAGTATAGATATGTGAATTGGGTTCAACTACAGACAGATTGCTTCGTTTAAAAAGTATTTCTTGAGCAGAGTACACTGCAGGTATATGTGGTTCAGGGAAGGGATGAGAGAACTGGAAATAAAAATGAACTCAAAATTAGAGAAGTTTGGCCCAACCAATCAGGCAGCAGAAAAAATATTTGCCAAGTGGTTATTGTTGATAAGAAAGGGCTCAAGACTTCCAGCATCGATTGTTCAGGTTAATCCTGTTTTTTATTTAACGTCATGGATCTGTAAAATCTTATCACAGTAATTTATGAAACTACATTTTTGGGGGCTGTTGTGCACTTGGTGAGATGCATAAGATACACACAGTACTGTGATGAAATCTTGTCTCTGTAAATTACTCTGAGTCCACTGATGTATTTCTTTCCATTAAAGCTCCTTGGCCTGTCCAGATTAGGTTTTTTTTTTTTTTTAATTTGAGTAATGGAAGCTGTATTCATTGTAGCTTGAGATGCATATTAAAGAAACTCGCCATCTCTCTTCTTACTTAGCTTTTTTCTTTGCCTCCAGATGTTTAAGCACATTTTTGTTTTTCTTTTTTCAAGGAAAAGATATGAAGCAAGCTTCCAGACTCCTCACAACTCACCTGCTGCACGTGAGTGTTTATTCTTAGATCAGTTAATGCCAGACTGAGAGGCTGGGCTAGGAAAAGAGAACAAAGCTAGAGAAATTCCAGCCATTTAAAGTCCAAAATGAACTTGCAGTATATCTCTGAAACTATAATCTATGTCCAAGGAAAAGCAGACTATAATTAAGGGAAAGAGAAACAACAGGCTTTATCCACAGCTTTGTGTTTTCTCTGTAAAGAAGGAACACAGACAGTCCAGGAAATAAATAAATTGTTGAGTCATTTAATAACAAACATCATATATTATCCTTAATATACCTCTGGGACAGGAATATCTATTTGTTCCTTGGTATCTGTTCTTTACTTCACTCTTCTGATTTTTAGCTGGAGAAATGATCACATGGAAAAAAGATTGCATTTCCCACCCTCCCTTGGAGCTGAATGTGGCTGTATGACTAAATTCTGGGCAATAAGTTGTAAGAAGTGATACAACCGCAGAGCATCTTCATGGAAGAAGAAACACGGCTGTTCTTTTCTCTTTCTTGTTGGACAGAATGCGGATTTTGGATTTGGGGTCACTCACAGCTTAACCTACTCCTTAACAAGACTCCTACAGCATCTGGAAGAATACCTTGCGTTTAATCGACAGTTAAAATTGTCACAAGTACCATTGACTAAACAAATATCTTGGGGGTGTTACTTTCCTTGCAGTTTTGGAAGGTTTGGTGTTTGAGAGTCTTGATGATGTAAATAGGAGAGAGGGAACTGAGTTATAATTCACTCAATATGGTGATCAAAGTAGCCTGAGGGAAATTATATCAATATAGGTAGAGAAGCGTGTGTGTGCTGTCACTTCGGTCATGTGTGAGTCTTTGTGACCCTGGGACTGTAGCCTGGAAGGTTCCTCTGTCCATGGGATTCTCCAGGCAAAAATACTGGAGTGGGTTGCCATTTCCTCCTTCAGCGGATCTTCCCAACCCAAGGATTGAACCCATGTCTCTTATGTCTCCTGCACTGGCAGGGGATTCTGTACCACTAGTGCCACCTGGGAAACCCCACAGATATAGATATATCAGTTCAGTTCAGCTGTTTAGTCGTGTCCAAGTCTTTGCAACCCCATGGACTGTAGCACGTCAGGCCTCCTTGTTCATCACCAACTCCTGGAGCTTACTCAAACTCATGTCCATTCATCTCATCCTCTGTCGTCCCCTTCTCCTCCTGCCTTCAGTCTTTCCAGCATCAGGGTCTTTTCCAATGAGTCAGTTCTTCCCATCAAGTGGCCAAAGTACTGGAGCTTCAACTTCAGCATCAGTCCTTCCAGTGAATATTCAGGACTGATCTCCTTTAGGATTGACAGGTTGGATCTCCTTCCTGTCCAAGGGACTCTCAAGAGTCTTCTCCAACACCACAGTTCAAAAGTATCAATTCTTCGGTGCTCAGCTTTCACATCCATGTGTGAAAGTCCAACTCTCACATCCATACGTGACTACTGGAAGAACAATTGATTTGACAAGATGGACCTTTGTTGATAAAGTAATGTCTCCGCTTTTTAATATGCTGTCTAGGTTGGTCATAACTTTTCTCCCAAGGAGCAAACATCTTTGAATTTCACGGCTGTAGTCACCATCTGCAGTGATCTTGGAGCCCAAGAAAATAAAGTCTCTCACTGTTTCCACTGTTTCCCCATCTATTTGCCATGAAGTGATGGGACCAGATACCATGATCTTAGTTTTCTGAATGTTGAGTTTTAAGACAAGTTTTTCACTCTCCTCTTTCACTTTCATCAAAAGGCTCTTTAGTGCTTCTTCGTTTTCTACCAGAAGGGTGGTATCATCTGCATATCTGAGGTTATTGATATTTCTCCTGGCAACTCTGATTCCAGATATATATATATATACACACATATATATAGTTATAGTTATAGATATAAATATATTGCACACTTCACATATATAAAATATGGACAAATATCTACATTTAACAGCTAGATAGGTAAATAGATAGATAAAATAACATTCAGCAGAACGTTTGGTGAGCCAGGGTTCAAGAAGTAGTGGCGCTGCTACTGGCTTGGAGAAATGTAAGCTGGTAAAATTGTTTGGAAGCAATGTGCCAACAATTTGTATCAAAATCTTAAAAATGTTCATTCTCTTGTATACATCATGAAAATTTTGAGAGACTTCAATTAAATAAAGTTGGGAAACCAGCAGGGGGAGCTCTCATGTCCTGCAGCCATCGCAGGTCCAACTGGCAGAGAGACTCTTCCTCTCCCGGAAGGACTCAGCCAAAGCAAAGTGACAGACTATGATAGCACTTCCCACTTCCTTTTCTTCTCCATAAAAGTGCTCGCCTTTCCTTGCCTTGCTGGGGACTTGCACATGGCCCATCATAATTGCAGACCCTGAATTGTAACCCTCTGCTGATCCCAAATAAACCCATCATTGCTGGAGAACTATCTGGCAGTCTTTTTTGTTTCAAGTTCACAGGAGTAATTCCATTTTTAAGAATCTACTCTAAGGAAAGACACTGGACAAAGAATGATGTCCAAAATTTTCACTGTAGCACTGGATATGGAGAAAGTTTCTGAGCCTACGGGTTCAGACAATAAATATCATGAAATGTCAGAGTTGGCAGTGAACTGGCGTCTTTTGCATGAGTTGATTTTCACTGAGGAAGGAGCTTCTGAGAGGGAAGTTTAGCTTGTACACTGAGGGGCAGAGGTTGGGGTGAGTGATGGAGCAGGCAGCGAGGTGTCTGCCTCCAACTCAGGCCCAGGGGTTAGTTTACCCACAAGGGACAAAGGATTAGTCAACACAAGCTGGAGAAGCTCTTTCTATAAATGAGACATAGAGACTTGAAAACCCTGCCTGGTACTCAGGGAAGAAGTGGAGGACTCAGTGAAGAGCCAGCATCACTTGAGGAAAAACCCTGGTTGGGTTCAAGACAGTGAGACTGGAGGCATCCTTTGGAAACCTGAGCGTCTGCAGCTATGGGGGGAGGGCACCCAGCCTGGGGAGGGGCACCAGCTGCGGTGGTGGTGGGGAGGTGCTGCCCTCTAGTGGCCGCGCCGGCTGCACAGCAAGGGGCCAGGAGCGAGGAGCCGGGAGGACCGTTTGTGAGCTCACCTGAATTCTCACAGAGAACTGAAATGCGGTGCAGGTGGAGACACAAGCCAATGAGATCTGAGTTACCACTGCCTCACTGGTGGTCATAGGCCAGAGTATTAACCATGGTGGGGAAAAGTCTGGTCTGTCGCGTAACCTGTGGGCTCAATTTCACCTATGTACCTCTGTATCTTCCCCGTCATTTTAAGTTTTCCCCTGCACCACAAGCACCGAATGCCTGGAAACAACATTTTACAGATTTCCTTGGTGGGAGGTATCTGTTTGGATATCACCGGGGACAGCACTTTCCAAGGTTTGCAAGGTAGGAGAAAAAGATGCTTCTGGAAGAAGCTCTGGGCAAGTGTGGGCATCAGCAAATGACTGATGTGGGCTTTTGCCAGCAGCTCTTAGGGCGCTGCTGGTCGCTGATTTTAGCAATAGTGGTATCACTGCCCTGTGTTTCTAGATTTGGGACCTTCCTGACTGTTGCTCTCTGCCAATGGGAGGCGTAAACAAGGTTGTATGAGCTTTATATTCCTTGTATCAAATCTTTTCATTCTGCGGAAAAAAAACAAAAAACCTTGTTTTCATAACCAATACCTGATGGACTCAGCCTGTTGGTTAGCACTTGAGCTCCAGAATCACTCAGATTTGGTTCAATCCCGTTCTGTACTTAGTTCTGGTGTGAAACCTTGAGTGACTTCCCTAATCTACATATGCCCAATTTCTTCATCTTCAAAATGTGTTAATAAAATCACTTACCTCATAGGACTGTATGTAACATAGGTAAAATGATATGGTATATAGTATAATAGCATCCATAAACATTAGGTGGCATCATTTTTGAATACTGCATGACCATTGAGTTGAGGTAGTTAAATTGTAGGTGGAAAAGGGAAGAAAAAGATGACCTATACAAAATAATCCCAACTATCTGAAATACATAAATTGAAATATACGAAAATGTTTTCTCTAGATAATGGGTTTACAGGTAATTCAATTTCCTTCTGTATATTTTTCTTGTAGTTTTAAAATGATCTATATAATAAGTATGTGTGTACTACTATATAAAAGTTATAACATGAATGTTATTAAAATAGGAACATTTATTAAGTATGCATTCAATACTCAACTTTGCTCACAAATTCAATGTCCCATGCAAGCACACCAAAATAATATGATCTTCTTGACATTTAATATTCACCATCTTTGTTTAGTTCTTTTCCCACAAGTCCAAAGACAAGCAAACATTGTGATAATACCAGATTTGAGAATAGTAAAGCTCCAATTCAGGAAATTTGCTAAAGGTGAACCATGGAGGTGGCAGAAAAGTTTGTGGGATTCTTCTGGGGCGACTGTTTCACACTTACTGCAAATAGGAGGAGAATCTATTTCTGGGCCAGCTGTGGCTTGATATTTATTCAGAAGAGGTTCCCAGGGTCTTTGATGTCTATTTGTATCTTAGTTTGCTCTTAAATTGCTTTCACTCACTTTGGCTGTCAGTCTGCAAGACTAGAATGGCCATACTCCTGGTTTATGCTTCCTGTTGTCACAAAGTAATTAGTAATAGTAGTACTCTCTTTTGCTTTCAAAAATGTCTCAGTTTAGATAAAAATATTTATACGTACTCTGTAAGACCTGTTCAAATAGCAGCAATTCTTGGACTTTAATAAATAAAGATCTATAAACAAAAAAATCTGCTTAGAATTGGTCCTTAGCTGCCTGAGAAGAATAGCATCTGTTTTGGTTTTGTTTATTGAAAAGTTTTTGTTTGTTTTTAATTGAGGTAAAGAGACATGCAGCCTTATATTAGCACATCTGAAACTAGTATCATGTGGTATGTTTTGTGTTTTGATGAGCTTCTTGGCTTGTGAGATTCCAGCTCACTTACAGTCTCCCCAAAACCATCATACCCTATATTTTCCCTTCTCTAATTAGGAATAAGTTGGAGTTCTAGGGTTATCTCTTTGAAAAACAAGTACTGTATTTAAAAAAATAGTTTCTTGTATGCCTGTGTATCTATCTATATCTGTTTAACAAACCCACATGCTAGGAAATTCCAAGCAGTCATATGAAATGTAACCCTATAATCACACCTTATTTTTCTCTATGTCACCAGGGTCTAATACTGCAGCAACTTGTAGAAATGAAACAAATGCTGATTGAATGGAATGGAATTTGCTGTGAGTTACTAATGAATAGGTGGTAAAATAGTTCATTATTTGGGCTAATCTGTTAGTCATTTTCTCACCAAACCAAGCTTGGGTCTGCTTGCCCTGTCATATTAGAACCACTCTGCTGACACTGAGATATAATGAAGAAAAGTACAGTGTTATTGCAAGGTGCCCAGCATGGGGCCAAGCAAGGAGACCAGGCAGCTAATGCTCAAACTCCCCAGACCACACCCCGCCCCCACCAGTGGCTTTCAGGGAACAGGTTTTTAGAGACAGTATGAGAGAGAGGGTCATGGGTTACATGATTGGACATCATGGACATTCTTCTGATTGGCTGTTAGTGAGGTAAATGGGTAGTATTTTGGGGGTCAACATCATCTTTCTTCTGGTTCTAAACAACCAACCAACCTAAAGCCTGTGAGCTTATGGTCAGCATGCAGTTGACTTCTGGGTGACTGGGGGTTTTAGAATCCACCCAACAACTCAAGGATATGACTCAGAATATTATCTATAGCCTTTGAGGAGGAGCTAAACATCCTTGACTTTGCCTTATGGCTAAACTATTATTATTTTGTCTTGTTTGACAGTTTTTCTTTGTTTCAGCATTTTTTTTTTTCACTTCTCTGACTAAATGTATTCTTTGGAACTCAGGGAAGACTTGGGAGGCTAAAGCTTTTCTACAAATAAGAAACAGGCGTGGTGGGGAGGAGGGAGTCATCTGTCACCAAGAAGGCCTCACAGGTTCCTTCTTGGTTTCAATTTCTGTGTATGCTGTTTCCCAATCAACATCCTGAGAAGAAATATTGCTTTGGTGAAAATGTATATTTACTTTTTAATTTCCTTTTTATTTCTTCATCGTATTTGGAATAGAGTCATCATAGAGCAGATGCATTTATCAGTTGGGCTGGATGCCGAGATGAAAAGTCATTAACACGGGATGCTGCCTTGGAGCGTTAGTGTACTACAAAAGATAAAATACATACACAGCATGTCTTTGACTTGCTGGTGCGTAATCTTGATAACTTACCACATGCGTCTGCATTTTCTCCCCATTACCCATGCCTCCTCTCTTCACCCTTCTGTGTAAGCTTGTAGATTTCTTAGCTTCCAGATGGAGTGCCAATTTATCTGAGGAAGACATTTTCATAAAGAAGTGAAGGGGAAGGTGATGGAGCCCATCCCTAAAATGTTCTACAAAAAATTGTGGAAAGCTGAACAAGACAATCCCTGCATGATGAGTGTTAGGTGAGTGCTATGGGACCTGTAAAGGGAAAAGAGGTGAAATGAGCTGTGGAGTCACAAAGAGAGGTCACTTACAGGAAGTGAGCATGAACTAGGTCTTGAGTATTGAGATGAGCAGGAGGATGACTTTTCCTGGAAGGACCACACTCTGCAGACAGAGCTTAGGCCCCCCGCAGAAATTCTAGGACTCTCAGTGGGGCACAAAAGCAACAGTATTCTCCCATACTTAGAAGCAGAGGAGAGAGTCACGTGGATGCAACTGAAGGATGCCCCAATGCTGACTGCGTGGAACAGTGGGTGCTTGTGTGAGCCAAAGTTTACATGGGGCCCTTGCCTCAGTGCATTGTCTTTACTCACATCTCCTGAGACTAGAATTAATGCCAGATGGTAATGGCAGTGGGAAGAGAAGACTGCAAATTGATTGAGAATGCCTTGCACAATCCCAATCAATTGGGGCTTGAAATTAGCATTGACTAGGAATTTGGAAAACAACTTGGAAAATAAAGGAGACAGGGTTCCTTGCACACTTATGTTTGTAGGCTGAGTTGTATACTTGCTATTTGTGTCTCTGTGACAACCATTGGAAATGACAGACTCACCAACTGTGCTTGCTGCTGGCTTGGGAAGGGGGCAGGAGAGGTGCTTGTCTCTGGGGCCCATCCTCAGTCCTGTTGTGCACTTGACTTATCAGAAGCTGGCTTGCAAGGCGGGGCTGTGGATGGAGAACCTCAAGTCGCAAACTGAGCGATGTGGGTCTGGACACTTTCCTATTACCAAAGTAAACTCAATGCAGACTTTACCCATTCCAATTCGAACTGCAAAATTGGACAGTAAATTTCAGAAGAGCAGCCAGCATTATCTGTCAGGTGGTTAACTTACTCTTTGCCTCAGCACCTTATGAACCAGATGAATGATTTTCCCTGTGATGCTTAATCTGATGTCTCCATTCCCATCGTAAGCCTAAAAGAGGAGGTGTTGGAGCAGAGAAAATGAAAAAGGGTGCTGGGGCAACATGTATTTCAGAAATTAATATGCAGAATGTCTTTATTGATATAACCGATTGGCTTTAGACATCATCATACACTTTCAAAAATAAATATATATTCTTTGTTTTGAAAAAAAGTTCTTATTATTGAGATTCTGGGACCCCCCAGTGGGGCACCAAAGCACCAGTATTATCCCATACTCAGAAGTAGAGGAGAGAGTCACATGGATGCAACTGATGGATGCCCCAATGGTGACTGCATGGAACAGTGGGTGCTTGTGTGAGCCATAAATACATCAGATTTATGTGTCTTTCTTTCTAGTTGGTTAGTTAATTTCCTACACGAAGTGGTTCTGCCTCGCAAAAGGCAAGGGCATGCCTGTGGCATGAAATAGCAGCAGTACCAACCTGCTATCAGAAACACAGTATGAATACTGGCCTGGAAAAATATGCAGGCTGTCATCATAAATCTCCTTTTTTCAATTCTTTTTGAAATAGAAGTTGGCCAGTCCAGTTCAAATCACCCATGGATCATTTTTAGACATCTCCTGGGTAGAGATAAAAATCTCGCTAAAATTGGAATTATTGAGCGGTATTTGTGATTTGTCCCTTTTCCCAGCATCGCAGGGTCGTAATGGAATCCACCAATCATATCAATGGGCCACTTAGTCACTGGAAGTGAAGGTGAAAAGTTCCCATTATGTTGAAGCAGGACAGAAATTGAAAATGTCAGCTTGCATTTTCTGTTTTATTGTTTTTCTTTTTCTTGTGGCTGGAGATGAGGATATAGACTAGGAAGGGTCAGTCTCTGAAGGAGGTTTCTAGAATTACTTAAAAAAAAAAAAATCCGTAGTAGTATATGCTTTGTATCCTGTGCATGCTAAGTCACTTCAGCCATGTCTGACTCTTTCATACCCCATG